ATTTATATATAGTTATATTTTAAAAAGCATGTTGTGCTTCAACACTTTGAGGTTGAGTTAATATACATATGATTTTTTTGTAATGAAGTTGATGAAAAAATCCATTCTTCTGCATATTTCACAAAAACTTTTTGCTGTGGTGCCTTTTGGAACACTAACACCATTGAACGAACTTATAAATCCCTTCATGGTATCTTTCAAGAAAACAATGTGATAATCCGTGCAGTTAAAAGTAATTTTAATAGTTTAAATTGGCACCAGTGGAATTAACTCATAATAAATATTCTACTGAAGTTGGGTTTGGCTTGTTTCGCAAAGATAGGGATAGCAGTAACACAAGTGTCTGTAGATTTGTGAGTGCAGCTTTATGGTGTTTTGCCACCTTCGTCTTGTCTAAAGACTGTATGCAGAGAATTACATGCGATGGAAGACCTTTTTTTTAAAAAAAAAAAACCTACTTTCTAAATTTCTGGAGAAAATACAGTAAAGAAGGGGATAACTTAAACAGCTCTAAACAGTAAGGTAGTTTAGAGAGAGGGGAGAAAATGTTGCAAGTTTTATCCTAGATGCAGTTTTGCTTATATTGGGGATAGTGCATTTAGGCTACACACACACAGAAGATCTGCAAGATGCAAAAATTGGAGATAAATACACAGTGCAAATATGCTGAAATTTGTCTGAATTGTACTGTAATTTGAGAGTATTTCTGTATCACATGGCACGGGTAAAGTCATGTCTGTAACTGTTACAGTGAGACTGTCATTGTTTCTTGACAAGATTTTAACTTACGTCATAAATTATGCTTAATCTTTTCTGTAGATTCACATGTAGTTGTATGCTTACGAATATGCAATGTACTGTTCAACTTCTAAGACTATTTTGACTTTTCTGTACAAAGGTGCTTAAAGTTTGAGGTGTTCTTGTTTGTTTTTTATCTTTTGCTTGGTAAGCATAGAAATATTAAAAAAATATGTATTTTTATATGAATATAAAATTTCGTGTTACTTGAAAGAAGGCACAATTCTATATTTTGGTTTTAAAATAGATTCAGTACTTTTGAGTTATGTTAGAAGCAAATCCTAGAGAAATCAAGTTGGATCAGCAGGCAAGCAGTGGTACAGCTAAAGAAGACACCAATGTAACTAGATTTATAGCATTAAAGAGTGTTAGGAGGTTTTGTTTGGTTGGTTTTTTTCCTTTTGTTTTTAACTTTAAATAATTTAGGCTAACAAAAAGTATAGGGCAGTTATGAAAAGACTCTCCAAGGTCCAGAAAATTATCAGGGAAACCTTGATGCTTTGAGAAGCTCAGTCTGTATTTGTTCATCCAGTTTTACTGCGACGGATTATGTTTACAATTTGTCCTGTCTGTATTTCGATGTGTAGTGCTTTTATGAATTAATGGCTATGTGTTGTAGATAATTCAAAGTCTCTGCTTGCCACTACGGAAGAGAGAAGCTTCCACTCTCACCTTCACTGCAGAGGTGTACTGCTACCCACAGTTCTTTTTGAGGAGGTAGTTGTTCTTGAGAGTGCTGTTCTATCTGTTTCAGGGACAATTTTCTAGCTAAATAGTTGACTCTAGGCAAAACCTGGAAACTGTACCTTAAGTAGATCTTCAGATTTGGTAACAGTTGGAGGAATTTAAGTACTGTAGGCATTCACAAACTGGGTATCTCCATAACCTTATGTTATCAGAGGCATACTTTGTTGTAACAGATACTGGCACACAGCTTTCTAGAGTGAGTGGTTGGGCCGTGCAGTCCTATCCAGACTGAGGTGCAGAAAATCAGACTTCCTGCATTCACTTCATTGTATGGAAACCTAAATAAATCTGAAGGGTGTTTCCCACAATGGCCAGAACTGCTTTTAAGTAATGCCCCCTAGTGTGCAAATGAAGGTTATCTAGAATACATGATTTTCTTGGACAGGAAAACAATCTGATCGATGTATTTGCATTGATGTAGCATGTGTATGTTCTGTTGAAATATCCCAAATATTTGACATTTACGAGCAGTTATAGTGAATGAAGACACTATCAAAGTCCTTTCAACTCCAGTTCCATGGAGACCTAAACTCTGCAGTGCTCAGGGCCACCAAAAACTGGTTTGTTGTCTGTGTTTTTTTCCCTGGCTTAGTTTTTTTCTGCCTTAGTTAAGGCAGCCTGTGGCAGAGTCCAAGAACTGGAGTCAGCACAGGGGAAGTGGTGGGAGCAGACAAAGAAGTAGAGTGGGGAGCAAGAAAGACCAGGCTGAAACCTGGTGTTTCTGGAGGTGTTATTGCAGTTATCTTGATTTAACCTGGACCTAATATCTTGTTTCCGTATCTGTCTATAGTTTGGTTTAGTTTTGCAGCCTAGATCTTTTAATAGGGGTATACCACCTGGTTGGCTTTCTTCAAATGGATTTTCAAGTCACCTAATGATTATTCCTTACAGATATTCCACAAACAGGGCTTAGAAGACTTGTTCATCTGATTCAGAAATATTCTCAGGCCTTTCTGCATTGTAAATATTTGAAAGAAACATAGCATCTTAACTTATTGGTGGTCTTCATCTGAAAAATTGTTTCCAATGTGGTAATATTTAATCATTATCTTTACAGTTGTTCATCTTTATTATTTCCCTGCTTCTGAAGAGACACTTGTGATGGTGCAGTGCACTTCAGCTTTACTTAGCAGGATCTTGCACAACCTCCTTCAAATACTGGACAGTAACCAATACCATAGTTTGTTTTTTCGTTAATAAAG